AAGGAAGGCTTCTAGCAGCTTAGCCGCTGCACTTTCCTTGCTAACACAAGGCTGTATTAGCTGAAATCCAGCGCTACCTGCATCACCAGTGCAATTGTTCATTGCTCCTCATTGTTTCAGACAGCTCAATTGAAAGAGTTTAAATTGCTGGTCTGAAGAATACCTTCACAATATTGCTTTAAATACATGCTGCAATGCTTCCCCACTGATGGGGTAATAACCACACTGAGACAGTTACAAACATCTGGATTCATGGGTCCATAACTAAACGAGTAATAGCATTCGCCTGCCAGGGTTTTGCAGGCATTTCTCTTTGTGTCAGACTCCAGACCATGGGGTTGGGTTGGCAACACTTTGCAGTGCAGAATTAGCCCAAGATGTGGCAGTAATGAAAGGGACAAATGCAGTCCTTAGGAAGCAGAAGAATCCCGTACTAAAACAAAACCCCTACATGTCTTGCTTCCATTGTGCTCACTGCATATACTTTGGAGTATTATTTTAAAGTAAGTAATTTTAAAATTAACTACTTGCAAATTATCAACCTACTTACAAGCCTTGGAGAGGCTACAAACAGCAAAACCCTCAACTGCTACCTTTTGTAGTATTGCTCAAGAAATCATATTAGTATATATTATCATGCAAGGCCTGAAAATAATTAGTAATAGAGACAGCAATCCCTATTAAGGAAAATCTTTTCAACAGACTGATCAGGTCAGGCACTCACTGGCTAGAGGATGAGAGAGAGCAGGGAGCCTTTGGGGCGATCCAAGCAGCTCTCCCTGGTTAAGAATTCCCATTTCCCAGCAGCTGCAAAGGAGGAAAGTTGTCTCTCTGACCAGTACTTTAAGGCACGTGTTTTCTCTGGCCTTCCTTCATTTGTGTGTTTTTGGTTTTTTTTTAACCACTTGCTTTCAGATATCTGATCTTTAATTTAAGAAAGATAAGAGATTAAAGCCAAATGACAGAACAGACTATAAGATGCTTAAATTTTCCCACTTGCATGGGAAAGACGTGCTATCTTAACTCACTTCTTTTTAAATCACATGAACTAAGCTCTGAATGGATACACTGATTTTGGTATTTGCTTTCATTTCCTACAAAGTTTATAACAAACTGGATTTGTTGTAAAATGGGTTGTAAACTATAACCTGGCATGGGTGTTACTAAATTTACTTAACACTGCATTGAACTTCAAAAACTTTCCCATAAACAGTTATTAATTTTTGAATGGAAATGAGTAGGAGTGAGGAAAGACAACAGGGAGTACACTTTTTTTGCTCTCATGGACCAGCAGGGCAGCCAGCAACAGCTAAAGGAAGCTACTATAAATCACGGTACCCCTGGAAACAGCCTCATTTGTGCCAGCCCTAAAATCCAGGAAGTAAAATGAGCATCAGTGCTGGCTGTGCCCTGCTTCACCTGAACTGCAGCCTCTGAGCTGGGCAAGTCAGAACATCAGCCCCAGATACAACGTTAAGTACAGAGTGCTGACCTCCCATCGAAACAGTTCTATGCCATGAACTGAAAATAGTTACTTCAGATATGTCAAGCCTATTTAAGAGCATCTCTGCAGCCCAGACTTACCACCATTACGTGCAAAAACTTTGCAGGATTTTCCTGAGAATGCGTAACTGGGGTTTGGCACACTTCCATACCTTGAAGTATGTATAAGCGCATCGCCATGGTTTGAAACTGAGCTGCCTAGGAGCAATAGGGCCAAGACCTTTTTAGCTTTGCTTTATGCTATTAAAAGCACAAAAGAAATTAAATACAGCACACTGCACCAAGTAGCACAGCTTCAACTTAAGCCAGCGAAAGCAAGAAAAACCAGGATCAGATACCTGTGTCCTCAGTTTACCTATCTGTCCTAGTGCTATGGTGCATGTTGGGCAGTAACTGACTTGTTTCAGGCTCTTATGTTGGACAGGAGAAATCATGAGAAGAAAGCAGTACTTGATTTCCAACCCCAAAACCTTTAGTGGCTTAAGACCAAATCTAATTTTGTTGTTTCCAGTGATCGCGCTTTCTTGGAAATCACACCGAAATCACAGGAATTTAGAGTATTACTGTATGTTAAGGAGTAAAGCTATCAGCATTAAGGTATTAAATTTATACTTGGTACCCCCCAAGATGCAGTCTGTATTTACTGTTCACAAACATGACAATGTGATGCATGACAATGTGATTTTTCTAACAGTTTGTTGTCCAACTACAGAGTCAGAAATCAATCTCTGCTGTTGAGATAAGCAAGCAAAAACCTGCTATTTAGATATTTTTACTGTGTCTGTCATTCTGCTACCCCAGTGTCTAAAAAAGAAGTTAACATGCAGACCAAGCCTGTGTAGCACACCCAGGAACAGGGCTCTCTTGGGTGTCCAGCATTTTTCTAAAACAGATGTTATAGCAATAGATGTGACTGTAGGAAATTTAACTGCTGAGGAAACTTACACCTCTTCTGCATAAGAACCATAGTGCAATCAGTCGGTGTCATTTTAAAGTAGCTAAATCAGCCTCAGATCACCCTGAGAGAACTGGACTAGGGAATGACTCCAAACACAACTACGCTGGCACGTGAGAAGCGTTTAACACCATATGGGAGAGTTCAACACACTCTTCAGTATTTGTACTGTATTCTGTTAAAGTAACACTCACTGTTTTGTATGTGCCATTATCCTATTTTAAAAATTGCTACTTTTTTATCACCTGTATAACTGAGTAACCGGAAGGACTAGCATCGGTTGGCAGTTGTATTCTTGTGAAGCCTGCAACATGTGGACTGCAAATGATAAGGGTGTGCTCTAGAACTGGATGAGAAACAACTTTGCATGAAGAAATCTCTTTGGAAGAATTTATGACATAAGGTTTTTCTTTTTATTTTTAAAGCACATATGAATATGCCCAAATTAAACAGGCTTTTAAAAGTGTTTTTTCACAAATTCATCTTCTTTTACAAGGAATACATAAGTAGTGTTCTGCTGCTTGTTGCATGACGAGCAATGCAGAGGCGTCATATGTCTGCTGTGTCAGTCTGTTGCCTAATCTGTGCTACTGCACCCTGTAAGAAAGCCTGTTACAAGATTCAATTGCTTTGCACATAACACACAGCTGCATTTACCTCCCGGTGCCAGAAAGGTTGCTTCTAACAAGTAAATTCCAATGCAACAGTAATCCTTTGGGCACTGAAACTGTTCAAACTGTTCATCCTGAAAATCCAGAATTTCTGTTACAGAAGTCAATGCCTCTTACAAATATTTCTGATTTTGCAAAAGGTCAAAATGCACTCATCATACAGTTGCTTTTCAGCAAACGGGTTAAATTCCTCTTCAAACACACTTATGGGAACAAAAGCACTGACTTCATTATTAGCAAAAAAATAATCTTTTCCCCTATGCTATGTAGGAGAGAAATGTGCATAATTTTAGACACACTGGGGGGGCGTTTCATCATTCTCAACAGCATTCCTGGGCATCTGGTAGTACCAGCTCACAAGGAAAACTCCCTGCAATACTCTTGTGCTAATACAAGAGGAACAGGCTTTCCCAAAGGAGCTAAATATCAAATGGTATTGGAAAG